TGTTCAAACTCCAGTGCATCAGATTTCTGCCATAAAGCATCTTTGTCCCTACAGGGGGTGCCAGAGTTCTATGAAGAACAGCTTGCAACAATTCAGCAGATACAGTAAAGGAATTTTCAAATGCATTTCTTTGGGTTGTAGGGAACATATATTCTGATGTGTTAGATAAACATGTAAGTGGAAAAAATATGGTAGGTAACTACTGTATAAGTCACCTTATGAGCTCAATCAGCCTCTCCTCCAGATTCTTTTTGGTACGATAGAGGTCATCTAGCTCAGCAGACATCTTCAGTTCAATGGCTTGCTTCTCCATCACACATCTGCTTAAGTTCACGCCCAGTTCATTACAGGACTGCTTTGCAAGAGCCAGGTCCTCCTCAGCTCTGACAAAAAAAACAAGAATCAGGCCAGCAGATATTCAAAAAAACTAGTAGAAAGTCTTACATGCTAGTTTATTTTTTTTTATTTTTAATGTATTGACTACCTCAAAAGCAGTAGAGAAATCTCTTACCTTGTCAAGTCCACTCTGAGGCTTTGTATCTGTTCCTCTTTCTGATTAATTATACTTTCAGAATCACCAATGAAGGCATTTTTCTTTTCGATCATCTGACTGTAATCGCTGTTGGCTGACTTTTAAACACAAAAACATATGGATGCAAAAACTTGTTGATTTTTCTTGCATTTAAAAGACTTATAATCTAAATAATTAGGGTTGGGAATATTTAGCCACCTCAACATCCAACATGCTAAATACTTGATATAGAACAATGCCAATATCATTATGATTTGAGTGTCATGTCCAAATGTCTCAAAGACTTACATCTAGAGCATATTTACATAGAAAAACAATTAAAAAGCAGTGCAGTGGAATGCAAAAACATGTTCTGCGCTAATGGCCCCTAAAAGTATACTGTTTAATAGTTACCAAAATTTTTACAAAATATTCAGTCCATTAATACAGAATTTATTTTATTCATTCACAGGTTTGCTTTTATCGTTTATCCTAGGTAATGAAACGGCAAGTATTGTGAAAGGCCCCAACAGCCATCTATGATAATAAGATCAAAATACCTCAAGCTCCAAAACTTTGGACTCAAGACTTGAGACTTTCTCGACTTCGCTGTCCAGCCTCTTCCGTAATGCATCCTGCTCCTCATTCAGACCCTTCAGAAAGACATTTATAAATAGACTGAACAAAACAGAACAAAACCAACGTCTATGAGAATTTTTACTTTATTTACCTGCACTTGATTTTGATGGTGCACAGCCTCATCGCTCAACTGGGACCTCATTGTGTCCACTTCTCTCTGTCGTATCTCTTGGACGCTTTTGGCTTCCTCTTCCACCTGTTCAAGCCTCTCTTGCAACTTCTGCATGGCTTCTGGGAGTCCATCAGTCTGCTTTAGCTGCTCTTGGAGTCTTGCATTATCTTTTCTCAAAGCCTCCATTGTATCACTTAGAGTTTCCACCTCCTCCTGTGCCTCCATCTGTAGCTCCTGCAGTTTGGTAGAAAGCTCTTCCCATCTCAACTGAGCCTCCTCGTTCTGCCCCGTCAGCATGCAAATGTGAATCCCAAGCTCGGCGGTCTCAGTGTTGGCCCTGTGTAAGGCCTCATGAGCCTCTCCGTTCACAAGAGCAAGAGTGCTGTTCTGCTTCTTCAACTCGTGATGCTCTTCCCTCATTTCAGTCAGGTTTGTTTGCATTTCCACCCGCACCTGGGCCTCCATATCCCTCTCCTTTACCAGAGCGTCCTCTCTTTGCCGGCAATGCAGCAGCTCCTCCACATGCCTACGGTTTAGCTTTTCCACCAGGGACTTTAGTTGCTCCGTCTGAGCCCGGAGATCTTCTCTGGAGGCTTCTGTCACTTCCTGCAGAGCCTGCATCTTCATCCTCTCCTCTGAGCTCACCAATAGCTGCGCCCGGAGCTCCATGACTTCTTCCTGGAGTCTGGAAACCTCCTTCATGTTGAGCTCAAGTTGGGACTCAGCCAGAGCCAACCTGGAAGTGGATTCTCCATTATTAGTTCTTGAGGATTCACTGGCCTCCCATAGGAGTCTAGAAGTTGTTGTCTTGTTCTCCTGTGGAACTGCAGCACTCTCATTTAATTCTTCCAGCCTAGATATACTCTTCTTCCCAAGTTGTTCAATCTCAGTTTCCTCACCGTTCATCTGGCCATCCTGCATGCACTCCTCAAGATTTTGGTTCTCCACTGTTAGTCCAGCCATCTCCAATCTGGTTCTCAGTTGCCTCTCAGTGGCCTGTGTGATAATCAGTTCTTTCTCTAGAGTGTTCTTGGCTTGCACCAGCTCCTTGCCGCTGTCCTCATTTTTTTTCACAGTTTGGATCAGCTTGCCATTGATCTCCATTAAACTTGTGCACTGGTTCTTGTACTCTTCCAGTTTCTTGGCTTGCGTTTGGAAGCACTGACTCTCCGCAGTCAACCGCTGGTTGCGATTCTCCAGTTGCCGGATCTTCTGGGTAACGGTGGACAACTCAGTCATCTTTCCATTCAGTTGTTCCTCAAGTACACTATTGTGTTGTAGCTCCTCTTCTATCCTTTTCCTGTGCTCCTCCAGTTGACCTTCCTTGGCCTCCAGTGCTCTCTGTAAGTCCTGCAACTGAGTTCGTAGGTTCCCCATTTCCCGCTCCTTCAGAGATAGTGCTCCCTGAAGGCAGTTGATGGTCATCTGCAGCTCATCAGCCTGATGCATTGCAGTTGTTCGTTCTTTGTCGGCAGACACTCTACACGAGTCCAGTTTGCCTTCCATCTCCTTAAGTTTCTTCTCCTGAAGCTTCAGCTCCTGGGCAAGTCTCTCAGCTAGCCTTGCCCGGTCTTTGCTTTCTCGTTTACACTCAATCCTTTCTTCCTCTGCCTGCTTTAGCTTGGTCAGGAGCTCTTGGATCTTCCAGGCTGAGTCACAGTAGCTGGCAGCCTGCTGTCCTTTTTCTCTCAGAGCTCCGTCGAGCTTTGTCACCAACTCCATGTTCCTGTTCTCTGCCATGCTTGTCCAGTTTGCCTTCCATCTCCTTAAGTTTCTTCTCCTGAAGCTTCAGCTCCTGGGCAAGTCTCTCAGCTAGCCTTGCCCGGTCTTTGCTTTCTCGTTTACACTCAATCCTTTCTTCCTCTGCCTCCTTTAGCTTGGTCAGGAGCTCTTGGATCTTCCAGGCTGAGTCACAGTAGCTGGCAGCCTGCTGTCCTTTTTCTCTCAGAGCTCCGTCGAGCTTTGTCACCAACTCCATGTTCCTGTTCTCTGCCATGCTCAGTTTGGCTTCTAGGTTGCGTTCTGATGTCCGTAGAGCCTCCAGCCCCTGTGTGGTGGTATGGAGGCGATCTGTGCACTCTCTAACAGTTTTCACCACCTGCTGCTCTTCTTCTTTCTCTTGATTAGGACCTTTATCCAAGAGTTGTTCCTGTAGGTCTTTGACCACGGCTCTCAGATCACCTGCTTCACTGGTGAGTTGCCGGATCTTCTCTTGGAGCTCCTGTTGTCTTAACTCTGACTGGTCAAGCTCAATGCGCAGGTCCTCAGAAGCACTACAGGACAACTCACCTAATTCCCCCAGATCACCTAGAAGATTGGAGCCAAAATCTTGGCCTGGAAGAAACTCCTGAGCTTGCTGCATGAGGGAAAAGAGGTTGAAATTAATCGAAAGTGACTATGTGACTGCATTGCATTAGGAAAACAAAATCTAAACCAAAAAACAAAACAAAATGCATTCACTCACACTGGTCTATTGTTGATACTGAGAGATATCAAAATATTGGTATTAAATCCAAAATTAAATTGGCGATACAAACAAAGAAAAATAGACACAAATCAATTTAAAATGAACAGCATTCAGAATGTTCATTTTATGTAATGTGATTTACATAATAAAATTAAATACTTTTTAAAAGTACTGAGTTTATACCATAATAGCCAAGTTACTTTTTACAAAAGTGCCAATTTTTATATATTTTTTTAACTACTGACAGACACACCTGAAAATCTTACCCTTACTTATATTATAGGCATGTATCCAAACAATGTGACTATACACCTATGGGACTATGAGCCAGTGTTGTTATCGTTAACTAAAGTACAACTTAAAAAAATAAATAAATAATTGTTTTCCAGTAATTCAAATAAATAAATAAATAATGTCAAAAAACTTAAATATAAAGAGCTTAAATGAGAATTAAAAATGTTGCCTTGGCAACTAAATTAAAATGAAAGTAATTTATGCTAAATAGAAATATTTAAAAAGCACATAACAAAATCACTAAAACAATATAAAATTTAAATGAAAACTTAAAATAAAAAAAATATAAAAAATATCTTTATCTATATCTATCTATCTATCTATCTATCTTTGAAAATATGAATAAATACTATAACAGCATATAAATACTACTAAAATAAAACGTAAGTCAAATTAAACGTCAAATTAAGATTAAATTAATATGTACTTAACCAATTATTTAAAAAAAAATAAATAATGAAATTAATTATGTCCCCTGGCTCATAAGTGTAGTAAATGAATAAATGAGTAATCTTCTGTTTTGTTTTTTTCTCCTGCAAATAATCGGATCCTTATTAAATTTTGGTCAAATTTGCACTAAATACTGCACTATTATTGGTAGATAACATTTAAATGAAATCAGTGAAGACACAAAAGGCAAGGATGCACAGAACTGAGTCTGAATTCTGTGGAAATTTCCGCTGAATTCTGTAGTTGCAGATTCCACGCTGGGCTAGATATACAGTAACTTCAAGAAAGAGTCCCTGATGAAAAAAAAAAAAAAACCTTGCTACGTGTACTGCGTTAGGCTAACTGAGACTTGACATTTGCACTTACATATTGTTGCTCTTTTGTTAGTTTTGATTGCCTCTATTGTCCTCATTTGTAAGTCGCTTTGGATAAAAGCGTCTGCAAAATGACTAAATGTAAATGTAATGAACAAAGAAAACTCAAGCATTAAATGTTAAACGACCTTAAAGACTGAGCCGTACCTGCAGTAGGTACTCCAGTTTATAACAGAACTTGTGAAGACTGGCGCTGTCATCGGTGATGGGCTCTCCAGAATCATAATGTTCTTTGCTCAACTCAGAAACTGCATCTACATAAACAATTGAGTTTTAGCAGAATATAGATTAAAAATATGAAGTCATTTGTTTAATCTCCTTGGAAACAACTAGCCTCATTTATTTCATAAGAGGTTGCGTGAACATTTTAAAGCCAAGCACAACAATTCTCCAAATTTCAATAACATCTTAAAGGGGTAATATGATGCTATTTTAAAGATCATTATTTTGTGTATTTGGTGTAACAGAATATGTTGACATTATTTTTCAAATACTGTACATTATTGTAGGTCCTCTATGCCCCGCCTCTCTCAAACACGTCGTTTTCAACAAAGCCCCCTCCTTTGACAAGCACAGTCTGCTCTGATTGGCCAGCTGACCCAGTGCATTGTGATTGGCCGAACACCACAAGCACGCGTCGGAAATGTAACGCCCCTTACCATAATCACGAGCTTCAGCTTTCAAAGTAAATATCAAGACAGTTAATAATGTCGTTAGTTTTACCATCAGTTCAAGCCCGAAAGGGCAACAGAGTCACGTGACAGACACAGTGATGATGCAGTACACAAGCCGCGGTTAAGACAGCTGACGTGCTATGATTTCTGACAGGCAGTTCACTCTCCTGTGATGTGACCCTGTTCCCCTCACACACACACACACACACACACGACTTGTTACTCTGCGCTGCGCAAAACTCCACATTTGAACAGTCAATAGCAAATACTTAAACTAATAACAAAACATACTT